ATTAAGGGAAAATGAGTAAACAAAAAAACTGAAAAACAATGCATAATGGCAAGCTAGAATGATCACACTGCTTATAATTATTGTAACAATACTAAAATATATAAAAAATTCGATTATCAAACTACTGCTCACGGAAACATCTCCCAAATCGCTGCCATCGGTCCCATAATTTTATATCTCCCCAACACGAAATCTATTCCAAAGGGATTATACTTTGGCAGTTACTTCAAGGAAGTGTACTGTGCGCAATCTATAAACATTTTAAACATATTTCTCGATCAGTAATTTTGTTACATCATGTCACCTCAAATTTAAAAAATTACGCAAGTGGAAAATCAAAAAAAAATCCAATAAAAGGACCTCAGTCCTAAGCAATTTTTTAATGGAAATTATTCAGTCTCTTCAGCTTACATGCTAAATTCATTGAATTACATGAACAAAAATAACAAAATTTCAAAGAAATTTAACAAAAATTAAATTTAACAGGAATGAAACAGATCCATCAATAATTGAGCTTCAAATGAAAATAATGCAATTCTATCTGTAGAAAAAAGAGGTCAATCAATTGAAGCTGACTATAAAACAAATAAAATCTTTTCCAGAAGAATAAATAAGGAAAAGTGGGAAAGCAAATTGAATGAGATGTGAAATGTCTAATAAACTTGTGAACAAAACAAATAAAACCAAATATCGGAGGAAAAGAAAAAAATTATTCAGTTCGTTAAAGTATAAATTTCATTAGTCAGCTGCAAACTGTTTTCAATTAAAAAAATCATGCTTTCAAAGTGAAACTGAATTCCTGCAGAAAGAACAGAACATTGTGTTAGGAAAGCAAAGTAGTTAAATTTTATAAAACTTCAAGTCCATGATGTCATGCGAAAGCCAAAAATAGATCGAAAAAAATCAGTTAAAATAAAATTAAAAATTTTTATGTCAACAAGTGGTGAGGATACACTTGGAATATGTTAGTCTACGTTATATGTTTCTAAAATTCTAATGTATGATGCGCTTCTGTAAATATGAATTTTGCGACATAAAAGACATACATTTAAATTAATTTCTCTTCTCATCGGTAAATATTTTAAGTCCGATAAAGAAAGAAATGTCGCAAATGGTTTAATCATACACTTTCGAACAAGAATTGCTATAAGACATATGCTAAACATGACTATTTCCCTATAGAAATACGATGTTTGAAAACAAATGGAAATATCCTGTAATATAAGGAATCAGTTCACGATACTAAAATAAGGAGCTGGTTGACGATATTATTTCATGAAAGGTATCACTCTATAATTTTTTTTGCCAACAGTTAAAAAAATTTAACTTTATATGCAAGGGTATATTTTTAAATCAATATTTTAAAAGTTAATTTTTAAAACTCCGATTTCAAAAGTTTATGAATAAGGAAATCATGACAATGAAACAACATTTTATGCTTAAAACAGCCACTTCAATTCACTTAAATTATTACCTAATTTAAATCAACTCAAATAGCAGTTTCACGCTCGAATGCAGGTAAGGAAGTCATTTTCCCAATATACGTTCCCGATGTTGAGTCAGTTTGTACTTTCTGTTTTCCTATAATTTCGTTGGAACGTATAAGGCCGTCGTAACCATTAGTACGCTGCAAAAAAATAAAGAATAAGAAAATATGATGATAAAAAAATGTGTTTGGAAGAAATATAAAAGAACCTGTTGCAAACATATTTATTTGCACAAGACTAGATTACAAACATGCATAGATACATGCACACAACCCAAACTACTCTCTCACTTCATATTTACTCTTTCGCTTTCTTTATTTGTTGAATATAAGTGAAACAAATCTTAACAACTTCTAACCAATTGTTGAAAACAGAAGTCATGCTGATTCCAAATGTTATTCTTTTAATGGATATTTATTATAGCATGATCCCCTTCCATCACTGCATTAAGTTAAATAATTTAAATAAATCTGAAGTCCAAAAAAAAGATATACCTCTTTCTGCGGCGGCAGAATAAGCCGTCTGGCCTCAGGGATTTGCAAGGGATAATATTCAGCACGATGAATAGCCAACGCTGGACCCCATTCATTTTCCGGACAAAATAAATCCAACCATCGTTGAATAAATGTTCCTTTTGTTGAACAAAATTTCACCACGGCTGTCACAGGAATGGCAATCAGCGGTGCAAGTGAAATACCCCAACCAATATGTTCCGCATATATCGGATATTTGTATTTTTCGTATTCTACAGGTTTGTAAGCAAACCAAGCTAACGATAGCAATGCCTACAACAAATGTTAACGTAAAACAGGCTGTTTTTTAGAACTAAATAATTGCTTGACAATGGAACAAGTGATTAATTTCTAGATCATGAGATTAGTGTAATATCTTATTGGAACGTAATGCTCTTTTTCTACAATTTCCAAAAAATACTTACAAGATATATAAAAGGACAGACAAATTTCCATAAAATCTTCCATACAATATATGGTGGTGGATAAAAACCGATCATCCATTTAATGTTATCCAAGAAATTGTCAACTCCTGTAAAACGTAAGAATATAAAATATGGACTGAACTAATATGAAAATAGAACAGTTGAAAAAATAACATCCTTAAAAAGCAATTTAACTTGTAATTTTCGAATGAATGAAAATAATGCAAGCTTTCTTTCACGCTTTCATCGGGTTAATACTTATGTTACTTTTCATATTGATGTATCTAATTTTGATTTGTTCTACTATTTCATATCTCCGCCGAAAACAAAAAAGAGAATAGGTAATGAACATATCTTATGTTGCTACTGCTAGGTAAATAAGATCATTGAAACTATAAAAAGCAAACTGAAACTATAAAAAGAAAGGAAACGAAGAACCGTATGCCCATGAAATAGCCATACATTCCAAAAATGCTAATAAGACCAATGTCCAAGTCGTTGTAAAGTAATCCAGTAGCAATAACCAGTAAAGACCAGCCTAAACAAGGATTATATTTAGGTTCAGTTCTAACTTGAAATCAGACCAATGCATCATTTTATTTCAAAACGGGATCCTTCTACAGTAAAGAAAACGTTATTCCGAATTTTAAGGAAAAAAAGAAATCAAAAATAACTTACAGCAGCGCAGAGAGGTATACCAAGTACATAAAAAATAACACATGTGAAGGCTAGAACATGGCGATGATTACGACGCAAACGTTCAGGAAATTCATCGCAAATAGCTGACACGATCGTTTCCATTGTTATATTCTGAATTTAGCCCATACTGTTCTTGCAATTATAATACTATTTAAATCTTAAGTAATTCTTATGATACTATTTTCTCACGTAATTATGACATTCAAGTGAAAATAATTTTAGAAAGCTTACCATTGTTGTTAAAATTATTGCCGTAATCATTGCGAAATATAATATGGAATAAATTGGTGCAACTGGCAACTTTGCAATTGCTTCTGGCAGATAAACAAATACAAGTTGCGCGCCACCTATAATTTTTAAAAACTTTATTATTTTCTAAATAATCGAAGCATTTGCTAAAAATAAAATGTTGAAAAGAAAATAAGCAAATTATTATGATGACAGATGAATTAAAGATTTTTATAAATTGTTGAAAGTAAACGAAAGCAACCTTTGAAACTAAATCTCTCAAGTGGAATTTCCAATTCATAACATAAAAATCCGACAGCTGAAGATGCTAATGCCCCACAAAATAATGATGTCATAATATCGACAATGCATAAAATCCAAGCATCTCTACGAAGAATGATTTATTTACGTAACAAATACAATCTGACATTTAAATGAATAAATTAAGAACAAACAAATAAATAAACAATAAGGAATATATAAAAAAGATATCCACTGCTATCAATTAAGCTTGCTTCCTTAAAGAGAAGTAAGTTTACATAGATATTCTGAATCTAGCGCATAATGCTAAGATCTTACATAGTTGAAAATACAAATACTCACTTCAAAATGTTATTGTGAAATTTGTTATAACTCGCAAGTGTTACCAAACCACCAGTGCAACATAATAAGGAATAAAATACTTGTCCAGCTGCTGTACCCCATACCTGGTTATCAAAGTGAACCAAGATTAAAAAAATTTATTACGTCGGACTTCAACTTCCATTTCATTAAATTTAAGGTTGCGTAAAGTTTATAAATTAAAAAAAAGAGTCCAGAACGGATAATAAAAAAATACAATAAATATTCACCGTCAAATCAGCTAAAAATTTCCACGTCGGTGTATAAAAATAAATAAGACCCGAAATAGAACCCGGTAACGTTAGAAAACGAACGAATAGGACGAACAGTACCATATATAATGCTATAACGATGACATAAACGGCCTAAAATATTTTTAATTTTTCCGGAGTACTATAATTAAATACTGTGAACAATTAGATCACCAAATATCCAATTTATACCATATTAAAATATGAAATGAGCCACAGCAGACACATTTCAATGTTCTGCAAATTATTTCCCTGCATTTTAGAAAAACAACAAAATACCTAACAATAATAGTCGAAACAGCCATCATACATTTTACATGTATAGCAGCAAATATGAGAAATATAATTTAGATCTCTAAGTTCGGATTTGCAAATAAAATATAACCACAGATTCAATAAGATAAGAATCGTACAATCTTATTGGTTCTATGATAGATTATATAATATAGACATCTCTATTACCTTTCCAGACGATTTCACTCCTTTAAAAGCAGATAAGAAAACGATAAACCAAGCTGTTAATAAATATAGTGCAAGATGCCAGTTGATGGGGTTAATTTTATCAAAACGATTTGACATTAACAGCACTTCGTTACTGCAATATTGTAAAAATTATACAAAAGAAAATATGTTGAAAAAGAAAGAAAAGATGTTTGTTTTTGCAACAGAGCAAGAACAGGAAGATTTTCTGAAAAAATTAGTTCCTTTTTTTCAAAATCGTAGACAAATCCAGCAACTTAAATTATATTTCCGAAATGAATAAAAGTTGAAATCTCTTTCTGAATTGAATCTTAAAAGATGTATACTTAGATACACTCGTCAAGAAATGTTTTGTTTCTAAATTAAATAGGATTACAATTTTTGTAGTAACATGTTAACTCAATCTACATCAGCGCCAATTTGAATGCTCGCTCCTTGAGTGCATGTCCCGAACGATATCAGAGCAATTTATATGAATTATATGCGAAAAGTCTTACTGTAAATATTCTGTACTTGGTAATACATGTTCATCGACATCAAATGATGCAATTTCAAGAACCGATGAATTACCACTCAAATACTCCTTATCAATAAGACAGGAACCGTTACGAAGTAGCGTACCGTTCTGCAGAAAGCAACTGGCAACATTGTCTCGATTCCAAACTGAGCATTCTCAAAATAAAAAAAAAAAAAACTGAAAATACATGAAACAAAGTATGGGATCTTAGATATTTACATCTTGAACTATAAGAAATACCAATGGCAAATCAAAAACTCATTTCGATGACGGCACAACAATAAGACGCAGAAGAATGTCGCTTTCATCGGTACTCTGAATTTAGACGCATAGAAAACACTTGAAACTACCGCACAAATTACTAGTGATAACCACTTATTACACTAATTCAAATGTCATACTTATCGAATTCCAGTCATTACTGCATGTAGCCCACGGCAAAGCAAACTTGAACGAACTGATGAAATAAGATATTGCCCATGCAGCAAAGGCACTATAATATATACATACGATACATGATACCATGAACATCGCAATACCAATACCTAAAAAAAATTCGCGAAATTCATAAATACCAAATTAATGTCAATGGCTTTTATTCATATAAAATTTAAAGTGCAAGCTTGATAATAAAAATATGACAATCTAGCTAAATAACGAACAAAAACTGACTGCCCGATATTTAAACAAGCTAATAGGATTATAAAAGATAACAAGGTTTATGGATGTAAATTAACCTTTAAACAGTGGGACAACTTTCCATACAGAAAGACATCCCATGCTTGGAAACTGGCCTAATGCAAGTTCCATCAACAAAACAGGCACACCGGCAATTAACATTAGGATAATGTAACAGAAACAGAATGATCCACCACCATTTATTCGACAATAATATGGGAACCTAAAAAATGCTTCCAAATAAAAAGGAACAATTACAGATCTAGGGATCATAACAGCACTGAAAAATGTTGAACGAAAAAGAAGAGAAAAAATATACCTCCATAAATTCCCCAAATTAAATATAAAACCAACAGCTGATAAGAGGTAATCCATCCTCGAGGACCAATTACCACGAATTTTATTCTCATCACCGACATCATCGATATCTTCAAAGGGAAATTCGATATCACCTTCGGGGATATAATCTGATACATTCAAGTCTAACTAAAACAACATCAGTTATGCTCTTCCTTCTCCAAACGTCAAAATTTTAATTTCAACAAAATAAAACTATTAAGGCTTTTATCAAACATTTTACAAATGGAATCTTTCTTTTAAACCAATTTAGTCGTCAATTAAACTAGAACATTAATGGATTGCGAGATAAGTATAAATAATTCTCCAATTTACCTTTCGACAAAACGGTGGATAGATGGAGTTAGCATCCCGAAAAGACCTTTTATATGTTGTTTTTACTTCCTCAGTGAACGGTCGGTTCTGGGAATTCCGCCGATTAGAGGGACGGTTATTACTACCAGACAATCTCAAATCACTTTGGCTATTAATCGACATTCGTCTCGAAGCCAGCTAACTGCAAGATGGTACTTTAAATAGAAATTAAATTTTCATATCAGTTTTTAAGCAACAACAACAATGTATGATCTGATCGCGTAAGAATAATGAATTACATATATCGATTGTATTTAATTTCAAATAATTGAATTCTATAAAAAGAAAAATCATCTATTCCTAACAATTCCTTTTCACAAACATTATAAATTTTCCTTTTCGTTTACATCATCAAAGCGATAACATTCTACTCCTTAATTAAATTCACCAATATTTCACAAAAATCAATTTTATACTGATATAAATACTGTCAATCAATCAATCAATCAATTGTAATTTTCAGTGATAAGAATTTCAAATTAAAGTTGAGAAATAATTGTTATGAATAAAGAGAGAGAGAGAGAGAGAGAGAGAGAGAGAGAGAGAGAGAGAGAGAGAGAGAAAGAGAGAAGAATAAATATGACAATCATCTATTTTGATAATAAATTTCAGTTATCATATCAGTCGATCAGAATATGATTGAAACTATAGATCAGTATCATGTGATAAATACTTCGGCATATCAACACAATGAAGACTATCGTATCTCTTATCTCTCCCAAAGAAGCCTAGATTTGAAGGAATGAAAAAAATTGCCAAAAATAGTTTAAGCCTTCAGTATGCGTATTTTCGATTTGAAAAGATATGTTTTTTGTCAGATAGCCTTGAATTGTTCTGCCTTATAGTTTAGAATTAGAATCATGTTAAGTTATATAACTTCAAATTAAGCCGAGAAAGATAACAATAATTAGATAACAATAAGATGGAAACAATAATTACCTTTTCATCTTTACTTATAATTAATATCATATGATATTTTCAATTAATTCAGTCTTTAAAAAAAACAAAAAAACATTGAGAAAAGGTTGAAAATAAAAAATCAAAATGAAATCTCAAATTAGATTTCATGGTACACTACTATCTAAAATTAAATATTTCATAAATGAGCATTTAAACGAAACATTAAAATTCAAATAGATCATAAATATATTTCAAAAGATTATTTAATTTCAGTTGTTTGCAGCTTTTTTTCATAACTTCTATTTTAAAATCAGAAAAAGGTTTAGCAAAATTTAATTCCGTAAAAGCTATTGCGGCCGTCTAAATTTTAAATTCGGATTTTTAAGTAAGATTTTAAAGAATTTTTTTAAGTAAGATTTTAAAAACAAAATAGGAAAAATTCTAGAATTTGCTATAATTTTCATAAAAATTTTCGCTTATCTTAAAATTAGAGTTAGCAACAGTTAGCAACAAAGCCAAAATAAAAAAATGAAACATAAAAAAGAAGGAAAAATTATTCTTCTTTCCCTTCTCGATATGATCCAAACAAAATTAAATTTGAAATTTAACAAAACAATACATTATTATTGAACTGTTACATACAAAAATATATGATACCATTATTTTGATCAAAAATATTTTATTCATTATTATTTTCTCCGATCACCTGCTGCCACATATAATTATCTGATTTGTTATGTGATAAATGGTAGCTGCTGATTAAATCAAAAAGTAAAATATTAGAAGTATTAAAGATAAGCGAAAACATTAAGCAGGTAAAGATAAGCGAAAACATTTGCAAGTAGAAAAATTTTAAAATAACATGGTAAATCACAATTGTTTCAAAACATCCGGCCAATACACTACTCCACGTTTAATCAGAATTACACGAATGTGCGTGTGTGTGTGTGTGTGTGTGTGTGTTTGTGTGTGTGTATTACGGACTATATGAGTGCCTATAGCTATGCTTCCAGATAGGCCAGCTAGTCCATTTCACTGTCCACCCTAACACTAGCAGCTGTTCGACATTAAGAATGACAGCTAAAATAGATAACGATTCTGTATCACCAATGTTTCACCACACACACACACACACACACACACACACACACAC